AGATATAAAGAAATGGAATGGAAAGGACATTGGAAACGATAAGGAAGAGAATGAGAAGATACGGGTAAAGTGGGAGGGAAGAACAGAGGCATTAGATTATGAATATTGGTAGTTGCTCGCGGTTAGTTTAGATAATGAAAACATAGACTAGTAACAAAGATTGAAAGGGATAAGGGAAATAATGAGAAGATACAGGCAAGGCGTATAGCAGTGGAAAGGCAGAATGGTATAGTGGATATACTTTGTTGGCGACATACGAGGAATGTTCCCGTGTCCAGGTAGTTTTAGGGTTTATAACAGAGATTGGAATGGATAAGGGAAAGAATGAGAAGACACAGGTAAAGTGTGTGTGTGGGGGGGAGAGAACAGAGGCATTAGATTATGAATATTGGTAGTTGCTCACAGTTAGTTTAGATAATGAAAACATAGACTAGTAACAAAGATTGAAAGGGATAAGGGAAATAATGAGAAGATACAGGCAAGGCGTATAGCAGTGGAAAGGCGAATGGTATAGTGGATATACTTCGTTGGCGACATACGAGGAATGTTCCCGTGTCCAGGTAGTTTACATAAACGAGCAACAGAGATTGAAATGGATAAGGGAAAGAATGAGAAGATACAGGTAAAGTGTAAAAGAAGTGCAGTCATAAGATAATGGATAATCTTGGTTGTCAGCACCCGTGGAAAGGTAATGGGTTTCAGTTGTCTTTCCAACACTCATAATTCTGCAAGAAAAGCTTGTCATGCTGTTCTTTGCAAATGGAACCTTCATAAATAATTAGTTACATATTAATGACATTATTTATTCGAACTATTGTCTTAATCTTTGTTGTTTTTATCACAGCGTCTGGGCTGTTGCGCTCTGCGGGCTTTCTCAGGTGTATATCGATGTGGACAACCTACAGGGATTTTCGAACTGAACACTTTATTAAATTTACGAGGAAGCGATAAGGAAAAGAATGAGAAGATACAGGTAAAGTGGGAGGAAAGTTCTCGTTCCACTGCTCATATCTCGGGATATAACGTCTAGTTCGTATCTTATTCAACACTGTTCAGTTATTGCTCACCCGTTTCCATTGAGTACAATGCCCGAGCCAGGGATTGAACCCACAAAACACTACATCACCAAATTCACAAACCGCAGCATTTACCCACTAGGCTACTCAGTCTCAGTGGAAACGGGCGGGCGATAACTGAACAATGCTGAATAAAATAATAGACGATATCATATGAGTAGGGGAACGAGAAATTTCTACCCTCGTAGATTGAATAATGAGTTCAGTTCGGAATTCCCTAAGGGTTACCGAGGTCGATATACACTCGACGAAGGCCGGAGAGTAAAAAGGCCGAAACGTTGTGATAAAAGCCACAAAGATAAGGACAATAGTTATCTTGATAACTCCTCATTCCAGAAACTCAAACAAAAGAACCTCTTATTCTCGAAGATATTTGATACCAACTGAGCTTTATCCACCATTGGAAATAAAACATGTTCTATTTTCAGCGGTCAAAAAAGAAACTGAAAAAGAAATTCCTTTAATCTTAAAGAAATAATGAAATCCGAATAAGCCAATCGAAGTCCTTTGATAAAATCGATCGTGCTTGATTAATTCTATTCATTTGTTTTTCCTTAATCAGCGCAGTTTCATTAAAAACTCTTTATTTTCTTTAATTAGTTTGAATCAATTAGCGTCCTGATTTCTATAATTTCTTAATATAGTTCCTGTCAACGTGTAACCAACCAGAGTTATTCTAAATTTATATTTTCCGTTTTGCCTGAATTCCGTCTTGCAAGACGCTGCCTGTTCCAAGATGCAGTTTTGTTAAAAAAGATAGAGTTCAGTTTGAATTCTCGGCGATGGGACCAATAGTTAAATTTTAGGTCGTTACTCTTATACTGGACGTTGAGAAGCAATACGATTTTTAAAAAATATATTGATTGATTGATTAAGTTTGTATCTTCAGTGGTAGTACCTTTAAACCGAATCTGCCGATCCTGCTTTACTCGAGTGAATTGGGGAGCGAAACTGCACTGGTCTACCAACCAACTTACACACATGGCTCCATGAATTCACATGGGCACTGCAACGACCAAACCCTGGTCAACGTCATCGACCTGCTAACTAAACTATGTTAGCGTAGTCGGAAGGGTCTCTCACCAAGCCTGGACGTATGAACTGCGCCTCAGAGAACAACGGCTTTAACAGTGGAAGGACGGAGTAACATCAAAATCCCCGGTGCAGAAGGCACCGGCAGGCCATTGAATTATGTGTGCCTTGAATGTCACCCTGAGCCACATCTGTGAGATAGAGGGGAGTGGTGACCACATCGGCGGCGCAAAATGCACTAACTGAATAAATGATTGCATGATTAATTGATTCGTTTTCTACGGCTTATCTACCCCTTGGAGGTTATTTAAAGGAAGTAAACGGTATTACCCTCATACATCGAATGGACGGGCATATTATATATATATATATATATATATATATAATGAAATGGACAAAATCCGACAATTATTTTAAGACATTTTTATGACTTCTTTTATTTTTATGAAAATTTCTCGGACATTCAGGCTGGTAAATGTTGTTAATACTGTTTATTATAAACAGAGCATTTACTTAAATATTTGTATCTATAAAAAGAATGTATAAATATAAAAATGTCTTAAAAATATGTAAATATATATATATATTAACTGATTTAAAATATAGTTTTCTTCGCTTTTACACAGTAATAACGTTTTCAAAAATACTAAAACTTCAAATTTAATTATATAATTAAAATTAAAAAAGAATTAGGGGTGTTTCATCTTCAAGCAAATTTTATAATTAAATTTGAAGTTCTTAGCTTCAGTTTTTGAAACGTGATTATTACTGTGTAGCGAAGAAACCATATTTTTAAATCAGTTAATTTATATAATATTTATGCTCTGTAAATTTACATTAAGCACTGTTTTGTAAAAATAAAAAATATCAATAAGAACACCAGATTATATAGAAGACAGAGGGAAAGATGGGGATCTATTTGTTGTTTGTCAGCGCGTTAGCTTTTTGCGTGTGGACGTGAATGGGGTCTTATGCGCACTGCCCCGCAATTGTTACACAAAAAACTTAAATATACAGGGTTAATCAAAATGAATGATCTGATTTCATTAAGTAATATTTTAATAAGGAAAACTCCAGCCGAGCCAGAATATTCTACTCGCAATCAATTTTTATTTCCTGTCTTATAAATGTTCAATGTGTCCATCACCTGCAGCACGGGCAACATCAATGCGATAAGAGAATTCCTCCCAGATGCATATCAGCATATCACGATCCACTGAGTTGATCGCTGTTGTTATTCGATGTTTAAGGTCATCAAGGTTAGTCGGTAGCGGAGGAAAATAAACGAGATCTTTTACGTATCCCACAAGAAAAAAAAATCACACACGGTGAGGTCTGGGGATTACGATTCTGCAGACAAACAATGGCATGGTTCAAACTTAAGTCTGTATGTAAATATTGCTCGGGTTTATACTTGAGTACACAGGGTCGTTTTATCGCTTTTCCCTTCATATTCCATTGGTAAGGATGAAGTTACACTCAGACATCTTCTCCAGAACTATTACTCCGTGGAACATTCTCCAGAAAGGATACTTCCCTGATCCCTACGATATTTGTGAAACCTATCCTACATTATTCATAATCACCACTTCCTTTTTTATTATTTTAAAAGAACCTCATTGATTCAACCTTCTATCTTGAGTGGCTCTTAGGCCGTGTATTGGATTAATAACAGCGTAACATAGATTGATAGAAATATATGAACAGACTAAGATAGATAGATAGATAGATAGATAGATAGATAGATAGATAGATAGATAGATTGATGAATGAATGAATACGAACAATCATAGAAAGAAAATATTTTTTTTTTGAGATAGATAAATAGAATCATAGATAGATAGATCAAATGACCTCCACGATTTTTTAGATAGATAGATAGATAGATAGATAGATAGATAGATCCTGAAAAGACCAAGATAGATAGATAGATAGATAGATAGATAGATAGATAGATAGATCCTGAAAAGAAAGAGATAGATAGATAGATAGAAGATAGATAGATAGATAGATAGATAAATAGATAGATGATATAAATAGACTACCATAGATAGATAGATAGAGATAACAGTTAATCATAGATAGATGAATGAAATAGATGAACAGGCTGAAGATAGATGAGATAGATAGATAGATAGATAGATAGATAGATACTGAGATAGATAGATCCTGGATAGGATAGATAGACATAGATAGATGATAGATAGATATAGAAGATAGATAGATAGATAGATAGATAGATAGATAGATAGATAGATAGATTACAGAACAGATAGATAAATAAATAGATAGTAGGACAGAGAATAGATAGATAGATGAAAAGATATGAAAAGGCTGAGATAGATAGATAAAATAGATAGATAGATAGATGAATAGATAGATAGATAGATGATATAAATAGAAAGATAGATAGATAGATAGATAGATGATAGATAGATGGATAGAATGAATGAATGAAGATAAAAGAATAGATACATAAATTATAGATAGATAGATTGATAGATAGATAGATAGATAGACAAGATATAGACAGATAGATAATAGATAGATACAAAGATAGATAGATAGATAGATAGATAGATAGAAACATATGAACAGGCTTAGATAGATAGATGATAGATAGATAGATAGATATGATAGATAGATAGATAGAAGGACGAGATAGATAGATAGATAGATAGATAGATATGGATAGATAGATAAAAAGATAGATAGATCCTGAGATAGATAGAGAGATTTCTTAGATAGATAGATAGATAGATGATAGATAGATAGATAGATAGATAGATAGATAGATAGATATGAAAGATATAGATAGATAGAAAATGATAGACAGTGAAGAGATAGATAGATAAAAGATATGAATAGCTGAGATAGATAGATCAGATAAATAGATAGATATAGATAGATAGATAGATAATAAACAAACTGACATAGATAGATAGATAGATAGATAGATAGATGATAGATAGATAGACATAAAGATAGATAATGAAAACATATAGATAGATAGATAGATAAAATAGATATAGACAGATGATATAAATAGATAAAATTTTAATGAACAGTTTGAGATAGATAGATAGATAGATATATTAATAGATAGATAGATAGATAGATATGAATAGATAGATAGATAGATAGATCCTGGATAGACCAAGATAGATGGATGGATGGATAGATGGATGGAGATAGATAGATGGATCAAGAAATAGATAGATAGATAGATAGATAGATAGATAGATAGATGGATGGATAAGATAGATGGATGGATAGATGGATAGATGATATCAACAGATAGCACCATGGATAGATAGATAGATTAGATTTTATAGATGAATGATAAGATATTATTGAATAGATTTATTTGATAGATTAGATATTTTCTCATTATAGATATGAAAATAGATAGATAGAAAGAATGTGTAAGATAGATGGATAGATAGATGAAATAGAAATTAGATAGATAGATAGATAGATAGGATAGATAGATAGATGACTAGAATAAGACAGACTGAATAGATAGATAGATGACAGATAGATAGCCATTCATGAGATAAAAATATTTTTGATTTAGATAGATCAGATTGAAAGATAATGAATAAATATATCCTACATGAAAAACATAGATAGAAGATAGATAAATGTTAGACATGTTAGATAGATGATTGCAATGGATGGCATATAAATAGATTTCCCCAGACAAACCATAGATAGATAAATAGAAGATTTTAGACATTCATAGATAGATAAAATATATGAGAAAAATAGAGATAGAAGATAGATAGATAGATGGATACCGAGATAGATAGATAGATAGATAAAATGATTTCCGAAAACATAGAATAGATAGATAGATGGAAAGAAAGATTTGGAAATGGTGAAATTATTCGTTTCCATACAAAAAGCATTTGGCCATCATTGACCGAAAAGCTAGCATTAATGAAGGTTGAAAATTTTCAAATAAGTTTATTAAATCAGTTTTTCAGGAAATTAAATTTCTCGGGTCCATTGGTATCGCTATTTCTAGTTAATGAGAGTTTCCTTCTAAGTTTAAGGTAATGGGGGGGGTCGTTTTTATTGCTGTTGCACTTAGATTGTTAAATAGAAAATTTATTGTTTTTTTTTTTGTTTTTTTTTGAGTGGTGGACATCTTTGATCTGAAACAATGTTTATGGACATTTTCACCCGGTTCTTTTATTTCAAGCATCTCTTTAATGCGTGCACTGCTGAATCATATTAAATATGTTTGAAGCTCTATTTTGAACAATCTTTGTATATTAGTTACATTCTTGAACTTTCAGTTGTTTTTGTAATATTTTTCTCTTTTTTTATTTATTTTTTTTTAAAGTCTCATATTGCTTTAAATAATTAGCGCGTTAAAATATATTTTGTGAGTTATCTCTATCTATAAAAGGCAGGATGTGTGTGTGTATGCGCGCGCGCGTGTGTAACGAATGCACGGCCGCAATTTTCGACGGATTTGCACCAAAATTTACATGCACATGCTCCAAGTTAGCGGGAAGGTAAAGACTGACATTGCATTTCCCAACTCCCATCGATAGTGGAAATAATCGATTTTTTTTCATGCTTCTACGGCAGTTTTCATGTAGTTTGTGGCCATTTTCTACTGGCCAGAGTGAGAGCCTATAGCTGGCTGCCACGAATAGGCAGGAAGATTCTATTGGCCAGCATGAGAGCCAACAGCTGACTGACACAAATGTTAACTAGCATGCTAGCATGCGAAAAATCGATAGCTGCATTCGTCACAAGTGGGAAAAATTTAAATCTGCATGGCACTTTACTCCAATTGGCTCATTCGCTTGCTTAAACTCAACGTTGATTCTGATTCCGCAGAACTGGGTTGGGTGTGAAAAAAGTATTTGTTGTTAACATTCTTTTTTTCATTCGGTTTTTCCAGTTACGAGTCCTTTTTAAAGCTGATCGTTTTGTGTTCATTTTGTTTAGTTCTTTTTTCGTAACAGATTTAATGTTTAGTATAGAGCTTAGAAAAAATTCGCAGTGTGAGATAGGCAAGAAGTAAGGCATGTAGCAACATCAGCACGGCAAAACTATTTAAAAGGCAAGGAAGGGCAAAAAAATATTTTAAGTCAAGTGATAGCGATTGCTGTATGAGTCGTACTATTTTTGAATCAAGCACGGGCAACGCCGGGCCATGCTGTTCGTGTATATATATATATATATTTTATAAGGAGTGGCATATTGTATTGCTTTTTTTTTTTGAATTTTTGGGGCAGCTCTTTAACTTTAATCACAATGGCCAACTTGTTGAAAAACGGTACAACAAATAACAGAATCGATTGCCATATACAGGCGAACATGCGCACTTCGATTTGGCGTAATATGGTTAGCAAGTTTGTCTCGGTAGAACAATTACGACTGATTAGTGAGTTCGATCCTCACTGGGTACCCTTTACTTTCGGCCTTTATGCCACATAATGTCGTTAACGCAAAAAAAATCTCTGGGCACCTCGAGGTGGTGTAACGGTTAGCAAGCTTATCTCGCTAGGACAATTACGACTGAGTATTGAGTTCGATCCTCACTGAGCGCCCTATACTTTCGGCCTTGTGCCACATCTGAGCTACGCTTGGAAAATCACTACAGGTGAACATGCGCACTTCGACCTGGTGTAATATGGTTAGCAAGTTTGTCTCGCTAGATCAGTTACGCCTGGATAGTGAGTTCGATCCTTACTGGATGCCCCATACTTTCGGCCTTGTGCCACATCTAAGCTACGCTTGGAAAAATCACTATCCACGTGAAGATGGACACTTCGACATGGCGTGATGGTTAGCAAGATTGTCTCGCTAGACGAAATATGACTGAATATTGAGTTCGATTCTTACCGTTTTCATCTTATTTCCAGCCTTATACAAAAAAAAGGTTTTGGCACCTCAATACCTAAAAAAATGATTAACAATTTGTCTGGCTAGAATAATTACAACTGATAGAGAGTTCGGTTCTCACTGGGTTATATATACTATTATATTGCCACATCTAAGCTGGTGCTTGGAAAAAAATACTTACCTGGCCCAGGGACCGTCTCTATGCTGGTGGTATCACGGTTAAACAAAATTTTTTGGAAATTCTATTCCATTTTTGGACCAAATAACAAAGCCAAGACCAGCTTGGACTAGCGGATATATATAATTATAGGTAAATAATAAAACTGACCTTGTGTCATATATGATAGTTTGGGGCATTTATATTAGTAAATAAATTCTTACCGTGCTCACTATATTTCCAGCCTTGTGCCACATTTAAGCTACTCTTAGAACATCATCAGTGGTGTAATGGTTTAAGCTTAATACTAGACCAATTACAACTGAATAGCCAATTCGATCCTCACTGGGTGCCCTATACTTTCGGCCTTGTGTCACATCAAATCTACGCTTGGTGAAGCACCAATTTTACGTGAACATAAGCCCTTCGACGTGGTATAATGATCAGTAAGCTTGTCTCGCTTGACCAATTACGAGTGATTAGTAATTTCGATCTGCGCCATAATTTCAGCCTTGTGCCACGTCTAAGCTACGCTTAGAAAACCACCATATCCACGTGAACATTAGTGGGGGCGTAAAATAGGGCAATTATAGCGTTTTGCATGAAAAGGCGCGTACGTGTTAAATCGTGACATCTTCTGATGCCAACATTATTGTAGACTATTAAACACGGCCGTTATTACAGGAAAAAAAAATAAATGAAAGAAACTGTCGATATCGATGAATTTTTATACATCATGTGCTACCAAACGTGACTAATTTCATGCGTGTATCAGTATTTGTATCGTTGTCGAGACTGTAGGATTTTATATGAAGCGATCTTCTCTCAACAAAAACAGCTATGGGTGGTCTTGTGCCTTTTCAGATTTATCCATCTGCGCCGTTCACACAAACTTATATTATTTTTAACATACACTTCCATTGATCTTTTTTTAATATGTTAGCTCTGTCACTGTTATTGAGCACATTTATACTAAATAATATTACAATATATATATATATATATATATATATATATATATGTTTCAGACGTCGCGTACCATCCGGTTTTATAAAAAAAAACACGTTAAAATTTTAAAAAAAATGAAGATGAGTAATAATTAAAACAATTTTTATGTTCTTTCTATAAATCATTACATATCTCCCGGTAACGGAGAGGTTTTTTTTTTGTTTACTCTTTGGTGAGCGACATCTGTTTCACCCTGTGTGTAGGTGTGGGTGTGGGTAATTATTTATATATATATATATATATATATATATATATATATATATATATATATATATATATATAAATATATTTAAACCGTTTGATTAACTGTCACCTATATCCTAAAAAAATTGGAAAAGAAAACTGTACCAATGTAATTAATAAATAAACGTTAACAGAAACAAGATAATTACCCCTGAAGTCATTGAAATCAATAAAACAATCCTCCGTACAGATGCTCCCGGAAATGAATTCTTCTGCTAATGGGAAAAGCTCGCTGTATGTTTTGTAAATGAGAGGAAGACGAAAAAATAAATAAATATATAACAACTGAAGAAGATAGGATGAAGCCTTCTTAGTTTTACTTTTTTCCTTTACACTTTTTTTCCCCCCACTTTATACGATAGGGTTATCTTCGGCTTCCTCACTGCAGGAGTCGAAATGATACGCATCGAGAACGAAGCTTGTTTTTCCTTTGCAAATTAACATCCCTTAATTTTTAATGGGACTGATTTTCTTTTCGTCAACCAATCAGCGATGAAAGCTGAAGTTGTTTTGTAACGTGCGCATAACCTTTCGGTTAATAAGAAAGCAATTAAAGCCCGGTTAAAAAAACCAAAACAGCAAGAAACGTTTGTAGGTTGCGCTTCGTGGCACAGCGATGAACTGTTCGAAAAGCGTTTTGATGATAATTGTGAACACCTACGAGATACTGGCTAAAAGTTTCGAAAAGTAAAAAAAAAAAAATGTGCGATGGGGTGGGGGTGTAAATAAATCTGGGTAATGTGACAGATGAATCGATTCAATGATTTGTTCAAATTAACCAAGTGTTAATTAACCAAGTGTTAATTAACCAAGTGTTAATTAACCAAGTGTTTGAGTAGTGCCTTGAACGAAGAGATTGTTCAATCTGTTCAAATGCATAACATTTTGGAATGGTGGCACTTCGATTTATTATTATTATTATTATTATTATTATTATTATTATTATTATTATTATTATTTTATTTCCTTTGATTTCTGGTGTGTACATATTTCTTTCCGGGTCCCGCCTAAAGACCTGAGGTTAGAAATGG